GCTGCCACAAAGGCGGGAGAGGCTCCCGCCACCGCTGCTGCGCTCACCATTCATGAGCCTGGCTTCTGGCTGAGTGGTGCTCCCCCTGTGGGAGCACACTGACCACCAGGGGGCAGTTCCTGCATTGAGCGTCTGCCCCCTGATGGTCAGTGCGTGTCATAGTGACCAGTCGTTCCACTGTTTGGTCAATTTGCATATTAGCCTTTTATTATATAGGATATTATATAGGATTGTTGACAGGATTACAGATGTCCCCTATTTCTCTCTCCCTTGCCCCTTTCCATCCAACCCCCACCCCACACCAGCCCTTTACCACATTATTGTCTATGTCCATGGGTTATGTATATATGTTTTTTGGTTAATCTCTTCCCACCTGCAAAACTGAAACTCTTTTACCCATTAAATACTTCCTCATTTTCCCCTCCCCCTGGCTCCTGGTAACTACCATTCTACTTTCTCTTTCTATGAATTTGACTATTATAGATACCTCATAAAAGTGGAATCATGTAGTATTGGTCTTCTTGTGACTAGCTTATTTCACTTAGCAGAATGTCCTTGAGGTGGTTCACTCATGTACCATGACAGGATTTTCTTCCTTTTTAAGGCTAAATAATACTCCGTTTTAGATATATACTACATTTTATCTCTTCATCTGTCAATATATTGTCTTTTATAAACTTTTAAAAAGTACTTTGCTTCACCCTTTACATATGATCATAAACATCATGTGTGTGTGTGGCAGCAGGGAGAATGGTTGTGGTGTTATTAAATTGTATCTCTCTAAACTTTATAGCAAAGAGAAGGATCCCTTTTGTCTAGTGAATGATCCTCAATTTTATGTTTTGGATTTTTCTATTTAAGATTTTTTTCTTTAGCCGAAACCGGTTTGGCTCAGTGGATAGAGCGTCGGCCTGCGGACTGAGGGGTCCCGGGTTCAATTCCGGTCAAGGGCATGTACCTGGGTTGCGGGCACATCCCCAATGGGAGATGTGCAGGAGGCGGCTGATCGATGTTTCTCTCTCATCGATGTTTCTAGCTCTCTATCTCTCTCCCTTCCTCTCTGTAAAAAATCAATAAAATATATTTTAAAAAAAAAAGATTTTTTTCTTTAAGTGAAACACATCTTTTATTAGGAATGCAACAACAAAAGGGAAGGTTGTGTTTGAAATTAAAGATATCTGTGTACGTCAGGATACACCACCATTTGTCTTACTTCATCCACTCCTTTGTGTTACTAGCATCTCTGTGCTTCTTGTTCCGTGCACTAGAAATTTTGGGGCCCCCTTTTTATAACATGTTTTCTGTGTGTTGATTTTGTCTTTCCAAATGGAATAAATTATTTTTTAAAAATATATTTTTACTAGAGGCCCAGTGCACGAATTCGTGCATAGGTGGGGGCCTGTCGGGAGGAGGAGACAGCAGGAGGTTGGCTGACTGGCCCCTCGCCGATCGGAGCCCGATCAGGACCGGGATGGCTGGGGGGAGGGGCTGAGGGCAATTGGCCAGTGGGCCCCGCCCCTGATAGGGGTGGTGAGGGCAGATTGGGTGTCAGCAGCTGGGGGAGGGGTCGTGTCAGCTTGGCCGGCCAGCCCCACCCCTGATTGGTGTGGGGGGGGGCAATAGAGGACAGAGCTGGCTGGGGGGAGGGGCCGTGGGCCGATTGGGGTGGTGGGGGCCGATCGGGGGCCAGCTGCCTGGAGGAGGGACCATGGGTGGTTGGCTGGCCAGCCCTGCCCCTGATTGGAAGGGGGGGGCGATCGGGGGTGTTACTGGTTGTGGGGAGCAGCTGCAGGCCAATTGGGGTGGTGGGGGCCCATTGGGGTCAGGGTCGGCCAGGGGGGTTGGCCGGCCGCCCTGCCCTCAATCAGGGCGGGAGAGGCCAATCAGGGGCAGGACCAGCTGCAGGGAGGGGCTGCGGGAGGTTGGCCGGCCGGCCCCATCCCCTGATCAGGCCGGTTTGCCGGCCGCAGTGGGCGTCATAGCAACCGGTCGTTCTGGTCATTACAGCATTCCGGTCGTTGGCTTTTTATATATATAAATTGATTTTAGAGAGGAAGGGAGAGGAAGAGAGAGATAGAAACATCAATGATGATAGAGAATCATTAATCAGCTGTCTCCTGCACGACCCCCATTGGGGATCGAGCCCACAACCCAGACATGTACCCTTGACCAGAATCGAACCTGGGACCCTTTAGTTCACAGGCCAACGCTCTATCCACTGAGCCAAACCAGCCAGGGCTGGAATAAATTCTTTAAAGCAGGAGACATATGTTATATCCTCTAGTCAGGAGCATAATAGAAGTTACTCAGAAACTACATATTCAAGGAAGAATGACTTATCTTGTACTCTTCACTAGTAAAAAATGTTTACATTTGCAGACAAAGTGTGTTGGAGAGAGAGAGAGAGAAAGAGAGAGAGAGAGAGAGAGAGAGAGAGAGTGATGTTTCCTGGTGAAAGCCCAGGAAAGAGAGCAGAAGCTGGCATGGGGTCTTGAGAGAGAGAGAGAGAGAGAGAGAGAGATGTTTCCTGGTGAAAGCCCAGGAAAGAGAGCAGAAGCTGGCATGGGGTCTTTAAGGCTGTGGACTGATAAGGCTGTGGTCCTGAGACTTCTGTGTTGCGGTCCTCAGGAGAATCTCAGATTTCTGCCCTCTTCCTAATCTCCAGCCTGGATTTTCAACTGTCAGCAGGGCAGCTGGATCTGCACGTGCCTTATGCTTCTTAAATGTAGTAGCACATAGTAGGAATGTTTGATAAAAGTGATTTTTCATTGAGCTGATAGTATATGAAAGCATTTAACACAGGTCCCGACATATAGTAGGTACCCAGGAGGTGACAGAAGAGAGTATGTGAGAAATATTTTCAAAGTTAAATCTTTCTCTAGGACCCCTACCTCTATTCCTGTGCCTCCACTCCTACCCTCTTGCTAAAGAGATAGGGGATAGCAACATGGATTCCACCTTTGGGAAGCTTCCAGTTCCTTGTTTGTGGCTTTATGCTCAGGCGAGAAATATAATCTCCCCTAAAACCTCACCCTAGACTGAAAATGTTCCAAACAAACTAGCCTGTCTTGTCACCTTAGGCAACTTTTAAAAAAAATATATATATTTATTATTTCAGAGAGGGAGATAGGGGCTGCCTCTTGCACACCCCACACGAGAATGAGTCCACCACCAGGGCATGTTCCCTGACCGGGAATCAAACCATGACCTCCTGGTTCATAGGTTGATGCTCAATCACTGAGCCATTCCGGCTGGTCCCAGCACCTGTCTATATAGACAACATTCTTAGTAGGGACCTAGCCTTGAGAATCTTATTGGAGAAGTGTATGAAACTCTAGGGTAGTTGTGGCAAGGTGGTGGGTTTATGGGGTTGGGCATGAGTTTAACTTAGCCAGGATAGCTTGTTAGGTGCAAGTATGGAGAAAGGGATACGGTAGAGAGAGAAAAGGGCTCAGCTCTGTGTCATTTTCTGCTCATAGGGAGATACAGGCACTTGTGCCAAGCACAGAGCTCTGGCCTGCTGTGTCTGTCACCTCCTGTGAATGTCACCTCCTGGCTGCTCTGCAAGGCATTTGAGGTTAAGTAGATGAAATAGGGACTCTGAATCAGATAGCCTTGTTTTAAGTGTTACCGGTTTGCCGGTTGGAAGTGTGCCTCTCAGGATCTGTTTCCCTTTTGCCGAAATTTGTGGAATCCCATCCAGATCTTGGAGGGTTTCTCTCCATCCTTCTTATGCCACCTCATCTTACCTTGATCTTGAGCTTTTATCCCTTTCATCCTATCACTGGTCTGGCTTCTGGGAAGAGGAGGGAAAAGGATGAGGAAAGATAGGAAGAGTTGAATAACTGGTAGGGGGTATGTGGATTTGCTATCCTTACATGCTTTCTGGAACAAAGTGTAGGTGGGAGGAGGATGAGTGAGTGGGTGGGAGAACAAACAAATGTCACCTGTACCACTTGTTTGTCCCTCAGCCTGGACCCTTGCTTGGTATTCTCAATCTCTGGTGTTGTTCCTCTCTCCCATTTAAAGTATCAGCATATATACCCATGTAATTTCATACCAATGGAATCATACCTTAGTGCTGTTTTTTTCTTTAATACTGTTTTGTAATCCTTTTTTTTTTTTACCTCCCCCCTATTTTATTGAAATATAATTGATATATAACATTGTGTAAGTTAAAGGTATACAATGCGATGATTTTATATACATACTAGTATATATTGTTAAACTATTACCACATTCATCACCACACATAGTTACCTATTTTTTGTGTGTGGTGAGGACCTTTTTTCATTTGATTGTACGTTATGGACATCTTTTCATGTTAACCAGTACTAGTATAGAGTAAGTGGTTGAATTATATTTCAATGTGCCGCTATACCATAATATATTTTGTTCTCTAATATTTAATCTATTTATCTCACATATTACCAATGGGGCCTTTCCTGACCATACCCTTTCTTAAAATTGTAACAAACCTCTTTCCTTTCCTATCTCCTTTATTTTTTTCTATAGTATTTAGTACCACTTGATATACATTTAAAAATATTTGTTTATTGTCTAACATGCTTCAACCATTAGAATGTAAGCTTCATGAAGACAGGGATTCCCCCCCCCCCCTTTTTTTTCTACTACTGTATACCTAGTGCTTAGAATCGTTCCTGGTCACTATTGGTGCTCAATAAATATTTGTTGAATGAATGAATTTGTTGGACTTTTTGTGTAACTATTAAGTTTTAATTTGCAATATTTTTGTTATTATGTACATTCTGTGATAAATACCCTGGTATATAAATTTAGCACACTTATCTATCTCCTTAGGATAAATTCCAAGAAATGGAATGTCTGAGTTAAAGGATTATGCACATTTAAATTGTCAATTCATGGAGCCAAACTACCCTTAAGAATGTTAACTTCTATCAACAGTGCATGAGATTGCCAATTTCTCCACATTATGAGTAACACTGGGTTGTGTGTTTTTCGTATTCCCCATCTCATAGGTGAGACATGGTCTTGTCACTGTAACATAATAGTTGAGAATGTGACTCTGGAGTCAGCCTTCTGGGGCGTGAATTCTGACTCAGCCACTTACTGTGTGTCCTTGGGTAAGTCATTTAACTTCTCTTCCCTCAGTTTTGTCTTGGGTAAAGTGGGTATAATGATAGTATTGATTTCATGGGGGAGTAAATCAATTAATTCAAGTAAAATGAGTTGAAAGAGTAATTGAGATGTAGCACACAATAAGTATAATTTAATTTACTTTTTTTGAATATTAAAGATAGAACATCTTTTCAGAAGTATCTTTTCAGATATATTTTGGACATTTATATTGTTTCTTTGGATCACTTATTCATGTCCTTCGCACATTTTCCCAGTCATATTTTTCTAATAATTTGTAAGAGTTAAAGTGTTGACTATTATGTATGGTGCAGAATTGTTCCCAGTTTGTCATTTGTCTTTTTATCTTTGTATATGCAGGTTTTTTTCCTGCCTGCAAGTTTTACAGTTTTAGGTAATCAAAATAATCTTTTCCTTTATAGTTTTCTCTGCTACTAGGCCAATCTTTTTTTAAAAAACGTATTTTTATTGATTTCAGAGAGGAAGGGAGAGGGAGAGAGAAATAGAAACATCAATGATGAGAGAAAATCATTGATCTTCTGCCTCCTGCATGCCCCCTCTGCCCCCCTCCTAGGGATCGAGCACACAACCTGGGCATGTGCCCTGACCGGAAGTCAAACTGTGACCTCCTGGTTCATAAGTCAGTGCTCAACTACTGAGTCACACCAGCTGAGCTACTAGACCAATCTTTAGAAAAGTCATGTTTTAACAGACTGACAGCTGTCAGAGGGAGGGGGTATTGAGGGGTGAGGGGGAAGCTGGGTGAGGTAGGTGAAGGGATTAAGCAAAAACAAACAAAACCCAAAACAAAAAAACAACTCATGACACAGACAAAAGTATGGTGATTACCCAAGGGAAAAGGGAGTGGGGAGAGGTAGAAGAGGGTAAAGGGGAGGATAAATGATGATGGAATGAGACTAGACTTTGGGTAGTGAACATATAATACAATATACAGATGATGTATTATAGAATTGTATACCTGAAACCTATATAATTTTATTAGCCAATGTCATCCCAATAAATTGAATAAAAGATATAAATAAAAAGGCATGTTTTGTTAGCTCAAAATTATAAAAATAGTAACCCATTCTCTTTGAGTACTTTGTGTATATGTGTATTTTTAATTCTTTAAGTCTTTAAACCACCTGAAATTTATTTTCATATGAAGACAGCTATTGTGATCTGGCTCCTTCTTTTTATTTTATTTTTTTAAAAATATTTTTATTTCAGAAAGGAAGGGAGAAGGAGAGAGAAATAGAAACATCAGCGATGAGAAAGAATCATTGATGGGCTGCCTCCTGCACACCCCCTACTGGGAGTCAAGCCTGCAACCCGGGCATGTGCCCTTGATCGGAATCAAACCCAGGACCCTTCAGTCTGCAGGCCGACGCTCTATCCACTGAGCCAAACCAGCTAGGGCTGGCTCTTTCTTTTTAATTGGATTGTTTCCCAAACCCATTTAATTGAAGAAGAATCATCAAGAGTAGGAGCAAGAATGAGGAAGGGCTCTCCTTCAGGAGAATCTGTTCTCCCCTCCTTTAATTTGAAAGTAGGATATCCTAGAGATAGCAAATCTCCATTTCAGACTCAGTCAATAGTCAATAATCATTCTGTTGCTAAGCTGTGGAATGAATATGCTGTGTAAAGCAGTTTGGGATCAGAACTAACAACTTGACTCTAAGTGATGAGACTGCTCTGCTCATTGGTGCAATTCTTCACTGGCTCTGGAGGCTCCTCCTAAGTGGATCCTAATTTGGGGACTGTTTTGAAGGGGCATTGTTAGTTTGCAATAATAAGTTATGTGTTGTTCGAGAAACAAAGTGACTGTAGCAGATATTTCCTCACTGCAGCCTGGGGGTATTGTTGGGGTATTGATAGGAAGTATTGAATAGTAGTAAACTCACTGTGTTATAGGTCTGCCCTTACTAGCTCTTTTGGAACTCTAGTCCCATCCAGTTGCTTGCTTCTGACTCAAGATAGAGGGAGGATGATTCTTGTATTGTAGAGCATCCACATATCCCATGGCAGCAGCTACTCTCTGCCAGAGATAATAAAGAAGGGCAGCTAACTCTTACATGGCATATATTATGTTCTAGGAACTGTTCTAAGCTAGCTATACACACACACACACACACACACACACATACATACACACACACACACACATACATATATATATATTCTTCACGAAGTAGATCCTCTGTACTGGGTTGAATAGTGTCTACTCAGAACCTGTGAATGTCATTTATTTGGAAATAGAGTCTTTCTAGATGTAATCAAGCTAAGATGAAGTCATATTGGGTTAGGGTGGGTCCTAATCCAATGACTGGTGTTCTTATAAGAAGAGGGAGACATACCAGAGGGAAGATGGCCAGATGAAGATGGAGGCAGAGATTGAAGTTATGCTGCTACAAAACAAGGAATGGCAAAGATAACTAACAACCATCAGAAGCTGGAAGAGGCAAGGAAGTATTCTTCCTTAACAGCCTTCTGAGGGAGCACAGCCCTGCTGACACCTTAATTTTTGACTTTTAGCCTTCAAAACTGTGAGAGAATAAATTTCTGTTGTTTAAAGCCACCCAGTTTCTAGACTTTTTTACAGCAGCCCTAAGAAACCAGTATACACTCTTATTATCGTCTTCATTTTCAGGTAAGGAAATGGAGGCCCAGAATGGTCAAATATTTGGAGATCTCTCAAGGCCACTGCTCTGCTGGCTGGGCACTTACCCTGAAGCTCCTGTTGTTGCTGTTGTCAGCTCTCCACTTTCACCACAGCCATCAGCTTCTGGTAGTGCTGGGGCTGAGCTGCTGGAATGGCTCCTTTCTGTCACAGCAGGCCCAGCCTTTTCCCCATCCTTGCCCACTTCACATCCTGAAGCAGAAACTCTTCTCATGAGGTTTCTGGCTATAGCCTGATCATTTCACCAGGTCTCTTACTCCAACCCTTCAGGCTTTACTTTTCATTTCCATGCATTGTCAGAGAAGTGTGGGTGACATTTGAGGGGAGGGTCACCCAGCTCCTGGCAATTGAATTATGCTTCTCATTTCTGGCCCGCTTATGCTTCCAAGAATTTCTGTCAGTAGACAATTCAAGTCTTTATTTTTCTTTGGAGCTTTTAAGATCTCACACATAGCTCATATGGCACATATCACAGTTCATGGCTGTGAGCAGAAAAGGAGCTGCTTCCTGGTAGCACTGTCTGTGGCTGCCCCGGTCACCTGCTCTTGATGAACACAAATCACCACAGTGCCTCTCTCCCCTGCCACTGGGAATGGTGGGGATAAGGACATTATCTGACCCAGCTCTTCAGTGTAGCTCCTTCTCTGCCCATGGTCTCTTTTGCTGGCATCCCAGGAGAGATTTCCTCCTCCTGCATCCTGTTGCTGGCTCTGGAATCTCGTCTGTTTTCCACTATAGACCTTTGTTTGGATCCTGCTCTTATTGTCAGCTCCTCTCACTAGACTGAACTTTTGGAACTCGAGAACCATATATTTTTTTAAAAAAATATGTTTTTATTTCAGAGAGGAAGGGAGAGGGAGGGAGAGAGAAACATCAACGATGAGAGAGAATCATTGATCAGCTGCCTCTTGCATGCCTCACACTGGGGATCAAGCCCACATCCTGGGCATAAGCCTTGACTGGGAATTGAACTGTGACTTTCCTGGTTCATAGATTGATACTCAACCACTGAGCCATGCTGGCCAGTCAAAACCATATCTTTTGTTTGCTGCTATAGCCCAGGACTGAGCAAAGACCTGGCACTTACTAGCTAATCCCTCAGGAAATGTTCATTGAATAAAGAAATGAATGTTGACCTTGAAGCTTTGGAATCCTAGTTTTTCTTGCTTCTTGTTAAAGCCAAGGATCAGATTAAGAACTTTAGAGGCAGCCCTAACCGGTTTGGTTCAGTGGATAGAGCATCGGCCTGCGGACTAAAAGGTCCCAGGTTCGATTCTGCTCAAGGGCATGTACCTTGGTTGCAGGCACATCCCCAGTAGAGGGTGTGCAGGAGGCAGCTGATCAATGTTTCTCTTATTGATGTTTCTAACTCTTCTATCTCTCTCCCTTCCTCTCTGTAAAAAGTCAATAAAATATATTTTTAAAAAAACAACAAAACTTTAGAGGCCTACACAATAGAACAATTATCATGTCCCTCATACTTCAGCCCCCAGTATATATATTTTAAGAACAGTATTAAAATAAAACAAGTATAAAGAAAATCCAGCAAAATTACCATGGTGACTGCTTGGATAAATATTAAATAATTTAAAACATTTGTTGTTATTGTCTCTGCTTTGCTAGTTCCCTAAGCACATGCTGTTGGATAATCCTGCCCTGACCAGCCCCTCCCTCACCTTGAACTTCACTTTTCTCTTTACGCCATCTGCTGAAGCTGCCAGCTATCCCCTTTCACCCCGCAGTGGTGTCTGGCTCCTGAGACCCCAGCCTGGGTTTGTGCCCTGGACTCCCTGGGGGTTTGCCAGAAAATCAAGTAGAGCACTGCTAAGGAGAACTCCCATGCTGACTTGGAATTATAGTCAGCATAGCACATTGTGTTACTTAGGCCATTGTAGTCATCATAATCTGCTTCCTGATCCTATATGTGGAAAGCTTAGAAATTTTCTTACAGTCTTCCTTCCTGGATTACTGAGAGAAGTCAAAACACAGGTTCACTCTGCCTCCTGTATTAATCTGGGCCTTGCTGGGATCATTCAGAGAAGTAAGGTGTGATTCTGGAAGTGGAGCCCAGACTTCCTACAGGCTGTTCCAAGGTTATGACCATAGTCAAATCCAGTTGCTGCTTGATTCTAAGGAGTTTAAAATAGTATTGGAAACCTCCTAGGAAAAAAATCACCACCGTAACTTCTTGGCTAAGGAAGTGGTGTTTGCTGGCCAGAGTAGAAGGGGTAGCCAAGCCTCGCAAGTTCTATTCTGGACCTGTTGATTTGAGGTGTGACATTCAGCATTTTGAGATTATGTCCTGGAACTCTGATGGTTTCTCATCTCAGCATAGAGAGTGATATGGGCTGTGTTTGCAGGGAAAGAGGCCAATAATAATGTCCTCTAGGAGAGCCTCACCATTCGATGTCCCTTTGTTTGAATTTCCAGGCTCTTTAAATACAGCCCCTTCCCTGCCCCCCCCCTCCCCCCCGCTATACACACTTAATACAGGAACCAAGCAATATTATCCACATTTTACTTGAACTCATTTAATCAGAATTGCTTTCCTTTTTAGCAGTGTGATTAGATCAGCTCCTCTAAGGGATGGAAACGTTGATAGGGTTTAGGAAAGGAAGGAAAGGTTTACGAAGGGCACATACCTTGGCCTTGGACAGCCAGGGAGTAACATGAGGGCACCAGGTACATGATGTGCTAGATGAGGAAGAACAAACTCACATCCCTGGAGAGCCAGGCATGTAATTAGATGCTTTTCATATATTTTCTTATTTAGTTACCATAATGCAAACCAATAAATTATCATTTTTGCACGGGCAAGCTGAAAGTCATAGAACTTATGTAACTTACCCAAGGTCAGACAGTGAATAAAAGGCTGAGCTAGGATTGATTTCTCCTCAGGTCTGTCCACTTCCAAAGCCCATGCTGTTATCACAGCTCTTGTCTCTCTGACAAGATTTAGCAAAAGAGGGTGGGCAAAAAAAGAGAAGATGGGGAGATGCCATCTTTCTGTGCCTCACAGTTTTGCTTGTTGAGACCTGTTTAGCCAGAGCATCCTGTTTGTAGAAAACTAGGTTCTATATATAGAGATGCTACAACAACATATGTGGGAAAGATACCAATTGGCTGTAGGGGAGGATTAAAAAAAGCCTTTGTTCCTTACCTCTAGGTCTCATTGCAGTGTAACCCACAAGTGTCAAAACACCACTGGCAACACTGGTTTAGTGTGTAAGAGGCCCTGTCCTATTCAAATAAAATCTGTTGGTCTATCCCAAGGAGTAAGTCATGATGGGGCAGAGGTGAGGGTGTGGTGTGCCCTTACTGCATTTCCTGGAGCTGGTGGCACCTGTTATGTGACTATTGCAGTGAATTATTACTGAGTAAACAAGGGGTGTCTCTCTCTTGCTTTTCTAAGGGAGACCAGATGGCAGTGGGTGTTGGCCAAGATCCAGGGGATCCTGGCCTCTGCGCTGGCAGAGTAGACAGCTTGAGAGGTCAGGTGATGGAATAAGAAGAGACAGAGCTAGTCTATCAACTGATGTAATCTTAGGGGCACCTAGAATGTGTCCTGCCCCTCAAAGACTTGCCTCAGCGATTTGCTATTGTTTGGAGTTCCACAGTGAAACTTTCCCCCTAGATTTAAGTCTTTGAGACCCTACTAAAAATGAGACTCCAGGAAGGGGTTTGATTGTGAAGCATCCTGGTCATCTAAGTGGAAGTGTGATTCAGCTTATGAGATTAATTTCTGAGAACTAGATTAAGGCAAGGGACTGAGCGGAGAGGACACTGTGCTCCTAGTCATAGGGACAGGAGGGAGACACCACTGAGTTGGATATAAAGGCTCTGCAAAGAGAAGTTGGGTCCCTAAAGAAACATTTTGTTTCCTTCACAATTTTGTCTGAGAGAAAACTAGCAGCTGAGGGTGGTGGGGATGGAGGCTCTTGACCACAAGAAAGGGTGTGGGGCAGAGATTTCCTACCTGCATGCTGGGTATGCAGGCACATTATTGTCTGGAGAGCAGCTGACAGGCAAAATGTAACAAGGAGTGCAGGACCTTTGGGTCTGTGGTTTGCTGTTATGTCCTCAGACAAGACTGTCACAGATCTTAGGAAGCAAGAGGAAGCTTCACAGAAATGATGTAAAGTGGTGGCGCAAAAGAGGCCGCTGATGACAACATGGGCAGGGTACTTCCTCAGTGACCACTGGTCACAGACAACTTGTGGTCTTGATTTCCCAATGAGTTGGGCTGAGCTAGGGCTTGATGGGAAGGCAAAATAAGCCATGTCAAAAGCAATGACAAAGCACTTGGGTGTACGTGCACATTCCCTTAATCACTAACTTTATGGAGCCAAAATAGCTAATCCAGAGGCTGCCAGCATAGCACCTGTGATTCAGATCTACAACTTTTTGGCCTGAGTTACTTCAAAGTGAGAGAGCCTTCCTAATTGACTGTTCATCTTCATGATCTGAATTTTCACATTTTTTCCTCCCCCAGGGGATCTCCGACAGAGGCAACCCAAATCTCTGCCTTTCCCAGCTCCTCACAGATGGATTCATGGATGTCCTTCACTCTTAGGCTTCAACTTTACTCTGTTTACTTTCCTACCCTAAGTCGAGAGCATTTTCTTTTTTAAAAATATATTTTATTGATTTTTTACAGAGAGGAAGGGAGAGGGATAGAGAGTTAGAAACATCGATGAGAGAGAAACATGGCTCAGCTGCCTCGTGCACACCCCCTACTGGGGATGTGCCCGCAACCAAGGTACATGCCCTTGACCGGAATCGAACCTGGGACCTTTCAGTCTGCAGGCCGATGCTCTATCCACTGAGCCAAACCGGTTGTTAGGGCGACATTTTCTTTTTAATTTATTTTTATTTTTATTGATTTCAGAGAGGAAGGGAGAGGGAGAGAGAGATAGAAACATCAATGATGACAGAGAAGCATTGATTGGCTGCCTTCTGCACGCCCCCTACTGGGGATCAAACCCAGGACCCTTCATTCCACAGGCTGACCCTCTATCCACTGAGCCAAACCAGCTAGGGCAAGAGCATTTTCTTTTGATCAGACTTTTGGTTTCATTCAGACCACTGGGGTTCTTACTCATTTCTTCTGGCATATTTTCCTAGAGAGCTGTCCTAGAAATGATCTCTATCACTCACCTCCTAAAGTTTGACAAGGTTTGGACTTTCATCCTTACTGGAATGAGTACAATGCTATGGAGGTTTCTGGAGGTACCACACCCCATCCTTTCCCCCCCAACCACTGTAGCCCATACACAAGATCGAATGATGTAGCTGGATCTGCTGATCACCAAGATTTTGGAGCCAGTACCTCCAATAGGGAGGGACTCCTGGTCATGTGTACTATGCCCTAAATGACAATCTGCCTCCCCTCTATGTCACCTATATTTTGGCTTTTTATTAAGAGGATCAAGCTCTGTCCAATTGCTTTATTCAAACCCCCTCGC